CCAAGTACATCCTGCCTTAAACAGTTTGTGCAGGCTAAGACTTATGTTCACCTCTCTTTGGATATTCCAGCTGCATTTACTATACAATTAAGTACTTCAAGACATTTAACAATTAGTGTGTTTGTGATTTTTTTTTTTTTAATCTCATTTTAGAACAAATACACAATAAATGGTGGCACCAAGAAGTAAATTAGGAGCCCCTCATTGAGTGCAACGACAGCTAAGTAGCAAATGCAATTATCTGAGCAGTGTGCCCATTTGTCAGCATAGCAGGTGCTGCGAGCAGTCAGACATAGCAGGCAGTGTGCGATATCGGAGGTTATTAAAGAAAGCAGCTACATTAACAACCATTCTGTCATCCATTCATTTTAGCTAATATCAAGACAAGAGTATGATTCTAAGTAGAATTATCTAAGTAGCATTATCATTAGAGGAAATACATATATACCCATATCTTCAGATGAACTTCCCGAATGCTTGCAGCTACAAATTTTCACAAGTGGTCTAAGAACAGAGCATATGAATATGTAGAAACTCTGCTAAATATTTCCCTTTCTAATAAAAAAAAAAAAATGTAGAATTTTAATGGATGTTTAGGAATTTAATGCTGGTTTTGAGCTTTTAATAAAACATTCTGATTAATGATGGATCAGGATATATTCGGTGATCAAGAGCTATTTGGATAAATACCTCTAAATCATATATATCACCCTAATTTCTGCTGATCTCCATTAACTGACTAGAAAATAATTTTAAAAAAAGCTTTCTTCATGAGTCTCCTGGTGTTTTTCCTCTGAACTCAGTGATCATGTCTATCAGGAGAGTGTAAAACATGCAAGTATAATGAAAAATACATCCTGCCCTACTTTTGGCTTAACTTCCATTTTTTCAGAGAAAATTGGAAGTATTTCAGAAATGTCAGAAAAGGTACAAATGGATTCAGAAACAATAATTGCAGAAATCTTTTGGAATTTCATGTAGTTTTTGACCTAGCTGTTAGATTTCCTTATCAAGAACTGCTCAGAGACCTCTACCCCAACAAGGTTTTTTTCTGCAAGTAGACTTAAGTTGTAGATGTTTTCTCTGTGAATACCAGTGCAGCATCAGAAAAAAGCTGACTTGTGTTTCTGTGACACGGCATTCCCTAGTCAGTGTTCAAGGGCTGAACGTGCTGATTTGGGAATTAATATTCAAAAAGGGTGTGAGTCAACTTTTGGAAGTTTGTTGCACAAAATTAATCTGATTTGTCATTGAGTGTGCATGCCTACCCTTGCCACTGCCACCACCTTGCTCTGCTTGCATTGCTGCCCCTTGGGGAGGGTTTGACCCTCTTCCCATTCCACCCCGGCCCCCTCCTGGTGCAGCCTCCTGCTGCTGCTCCAGGACATGGTCGGCATATCATCCACTCAGCTGTGAAAAGATGTGAGATAATGAGAACAGTAGGCACAGACTTACCAGTTAATGCTGTTCAGGCTCATCTGACTCATTTGGATGCAGCAGGTTAGGGGAAGATCGATGTAAGTATTTTTTTACATAGAAAAAGGCGTTTTTCACTGGCACAGCTACATGACTTCAGCTTGTTTTTGTATCTACATCCAGAACTGCCTGTTTCTACCATGTGCTTCAACAGGGCAGAATATACATTTTGTGTGCCTCAAAACAAAATGGCATTTCAAAAATCCCATCCTGAAAAGAGTCACCTTTAGCAACAAAGTCTGATAAAAAAATAATTTATTACCCTAAGTTTTGCAATAGGTTTAGAAACTGATGGAAAATGCACCTTGGAACATGGAGAAATCAACATTCAAGGCATTTCATTGTGGTAGAAAGCATTCACAGCTGATGAGCCGAAGTGGCAGGAAAGAAACTACAGTGGTTATTTCTTTCTGAATAGGTTGTGGTGCTGTAACGTGAATGCTGTTTGCAAGAAAAGATTGATGCTTGCAGATTTACTGAGTCACTGTGTTTGTACAATATAGTTATGTCATCATTCTTCGGTGTTGTCTTTGCCTCCCTTAGATAGATTTATCTAGTTGGCAGACGGTTATCAAACAGGTTATTGGTTTAGCAGTATGAGGAAGGGCATGTTAACCAAAACTTTCCACTTCGCCTTCATTGCAGGTTTTTCCATAAGTTTCATCTGTGTTAAAGGGATAATTGTGTATTTCCATCCTCATCTATGGTGTACCACACATGCTTCAGCAATTTGAATATATATTAAGCATTTCTGACAAGGAGGTACAGATTTAAACAAAGAAACAAAAATTAGGTATATTTGGTAACAACAGAAGTATTTGCAATGTTCAACAAACTCATTTATGAATGAGACCATTTCTCTGAACCCATCTGCACTGGGGATATTTTCATAATTTATTATCTATTAAAACAACTCTGTGTTGTTCTGATTTTATTGCTATTAAATAGAGCAACATTAAAGGCCCTATTTTTTTTTTTTTTTGCAAGACTGGTGTGCTCTAAAGAGAAGCTTGTGTAAATAAAAACTGTCCATGCTCTCTATGCAGTCATTTTTATTTTTGCTAGAGAGGAAACAGGTTGCTATAAAGTTAAATTGGTTTAAGTTTGTCCTCAGTGTCTGCTTAGTCTTTGGTCTCCAAGTGTAAACAGAAACATAGGATGCAGTTCCATACTGTGTTGTCTTCAGTGGCAAGTCCATCTTCAAAGGTTTGAAAGGTTTGCACACCTCCTTCTGACTCCTGACCTTGTCTGCCCTTTCCCACATCATGTCACAATTTGACTCCCCGTCCGTGCTAATACAATTGTGTGTGGGACCGTGCTGTGGATGGGATCACTGCACTAAGCTGACTTAAGAAAATGATTTCTCGCTTTGATTAGTGACCCAGTTTGCAGGGCTGCCCCATGGACAGTTTTAGTGGTACACCATCGAGGGTAGCAAGTGATGGGAAACATGAAGAGAGTTAACTCTTGCAGCCACATAAGTAAACCACAAGCCAGACTGGATCTGGCTTGTCTGCACGAAGAACTTGCAGTAGTGAAAGTATTTAGCTAAACCTGGTCACTGCTCAAGTGAGAAGACCTTCAGAAACAAATAAAATGGAGTGTATAATTCACTTATGTCATAGCAAATATTCACCCAGAGACCACATTCAGACTGTGTATATGACCTTAATTATTTTACTTACCTATGTTTTTTTAATACTGTGTGCTGGTTTTAGTCAGAATCTTTGCATCTTTGATATTCATGTAATGCCATTTTTGTTGGTAACATTAATAAAGCAGCCTGCAATGTATGTCCTTATCTTTTTCATATATCCAGACAAATATTTTCCAATATGGCTAATAAATGAAAGTGAGGAATTATTAGCTTAAATTTCTGATGAAGCCTTCTACAGTTCTATCAAGACTACGGTCCTGATTTGACTGCAGCTGTGAAATGGCTCTTTATAGTGCTTTCACTGCTTCTTTTTGCACGTACTTTCAGGACCATTAACTTGAATGCCATGCGCATCATTCCTCCCAAGGTGTTCTTCTTTGTGTTATTAAAGTACAGAAGTCTACCAAGGCAATTTTTAGAATATGATTGTTTTTCTTCTTATTTCTTAAAACTATGGCTTATTAGACATGGTCTAACTATGGAATTTCAGAGATTATTTGAATGTTATCCTGCATTTCTCTTTTTACATTAGAAGACTTTCCCAAGAATATAACAACTAGGATGTTTTATGATGACTAATATGAGAATGCCATAAAGGAAACAGTAATAGTCCAGAAAACATGTCATATTGACAAAGGTGGAGGACCTTTTGTAATTGTATATGTAGACTTAATCTGGTTATGAATATCTGAAACAGGGTGTTAATGTTCTAACAGAAATATTCTGAATTTCAAGTCAGTCCAAACAACACTCAGAAAGATTTTCGGCATTTCCAAAAGAACCCCGATGCTAAAATTTGAAATGAAAGGTAAGCTATCCAGCATCACTGGATAGACTTCCAGATATACTTCCATCAGACATTTGAATGACAGCTCCAAAGAAAAGCAAGAATCTTCCATAATCATGTGTGTAAGAGTTCCAGAAACCATTCAGAACCATCTGAGAATCTGAGATATTTTGTAGATGCTTACCTCTTTTTCATGCTGGATCACAATGAAAGAATTCCAGAGGAGGAACACTGTGAAAGCTATGAAAGAATTAGTGAGTTAAATACAGATCAAGAATTTAATTTTATCATGTTTTATTTGTAACACGCTGTTTTATGTGTAGCAAGTTCTTTCGAATCTTTTGCTTCCAAGACTCACCTGTCCTGTTAATTAATTTTTTGCTTTGTTTCACCATTAAGCTTGTCTGGTGTTCTCAATACAAAGTGAATCATGGTAAAGCTGCTAAATGTAGGGTGTAAAGGTAAACTAGTAATATCTGCATAAAGGCAGAAGCAAGCAGTCTTAATGGAACTGCAAGGAGATGCAGATATAAACCAGGAGATACATCAGCATCCAGCTCCTTTTGCAAAGAAGTTTTAAATGAGTGTCAGGCAGTCAAAGTTAGGCAATTTAAGTATGTCTATGGTAAAAGTTGTCTTTCATGAGAAAAAGAAATATCCATGCAATGTCCTCCACACGCTGAAGTGTGGACATATATACAGCATCAGAGGGTGCCCATGCAGGCAATGTGCAACATCCTTGCTCAGTAAGGCACCTACGCATTTAAACTTTAGTGTTAGTCCTAAGTAAGCACTTTGCAGGAGATTTTTTTCAGTAGTAATAATATTAAAAAAGGTGAACAACTTCTTCAATTCCTTTGACCCTAGCATGCCAAACCTAAGTAGTAAACTAAACATTCATGAAAGATTAATCATTTAGGAAATTAGTATCTTCTTATATTTCAGTCAGTGAAACTTCACCAGCACCATCCATTCAGTGACAGACAGGACGATGTTGATGTGGTACACTTCATCCTGAGCCACTGAACCTTCAGATGATCTCTTATATAGGTTGGAGCAGCCCTGTGAAATACAGTCACGATGCCTAAACATGAAAGAACAACTGCCATTGAAGGAAATGGTAATTACAACTATAATTATGTGTCTTAACACATACTAATTTTTTGCATGTAGCTCACCAGTGTTGAGTTTTATATTCCTCTTCTCATTTCTAGTTGTTTTTCTTCTTGTTCTTACTAATAAAAACCCTCCTTTGTCACAATTCATTATCTTTTGTTCAGAAATGTATTTTACTTAGGTTTTGAAAGCATCTTTTTTGTGTAAATTGCCTAGTTGCAGCATGGCAGTATGGCTTTCCACTGGTTAGTAAATCAAAAGAGTGCAACTTGTCTTACATTTTTATGCATGTTATAGGGAAGATTGAGAAAACAAGGGTATTCTGTGGCTTCTGTAAAGTGCACAAAGACAATGCCTCCTTTTCTTATTGCTTTCAGTATTTGATATGAAATGTCAGGCATTCTTCATAGTAAGATTAACAATATTTCTATATTTATACTGCAATGTTCTGGGTGTAAGAAATGTTTTTGTAGCATGATAATGCCAAATGGCTTATTCCGGCAAAGTGCAAGACAACTTTTTGATATGGGGAGTGCTTCAGGTCTAATGGGCAATGCTACTCTTTTCAAAATATGAATCTTTTTCACATGGAACATGCATGATATTTCTGATCTTCAGCATGGAATAAATTTGCCAGGGACCTTATTCTAGACTGATTTCTGAATGAATTCATTAGGTCCTGCTAAGTATCAGGGTGGTGCTACTAAACAGTGTTTTGTATATTTTCAGTCTTGCAAAGTGCAGTAGTAATAAAATGGGTTCTGCTTCCACAGAAAATATCAGAAGGAACTACTTAGCATTTAGGCAGAATATAAGGTGAAGTTAATTTTAAGAGTCCATCCTATATATTTTGTTGTTTAAGCACTTTAATTTTTTTGTTGAATTTCTTTTTCTCCATTTTCTTCTACGTCACTTTACTGACCAGTTTAATTTTCAAACAATGTGTGTTAATGGAGCTCATTTTAACATGAAAGAAGCACCAAATTTAATGTAGCATAGGCAAAACACTTATCAGCTTCAGCAGAATTTTCATATGAATAAGAAACAAAATGAGCATGACCATAGAACATACACATTTTTATAAACATATCTAATGAACAAATTCTTAGAATAGCAAGGTTCTACATTTACTGTAAACATCTGCCTTTTACTTGCACATAGCTGACTGCATTGACTTATCTTCTGATTCAGTGGCTTTATTATTCATTCAAAGTACAAAAGTTAGCATTCCCATGTTGAATAAAAAACTTAAATCTTTTAACTGGAGAAGGCTGAGATTTTTAAGTTACAGAATCATGATTATTCTTTTACAAATTTTGCATGAAAATTTGCCCTGTATATAACTTATAATAAAATCTATCTTAATGACAGTTATGAATATATTTGGAGATGAGATCATGTAAGTAAATTCAAGACTCATTCTAGATTTAAGAAGATCTAAAAAGGTGGAGCTCCCCTGTAAGTAACTATGAGACACTTTCAGAATGTGGTTCTGAGTCCACTTTTGACTTAAAATGTTCCAAGTTCTGGAGTTAGTTAACAGAGAGCAGGCATGAATCCAGTTGCAATTTCTTTACAGGAGGTTTTGTTTCATCATTGCTACCTTTCCTGAGGAATATTCTTGCAAAGAATAGACCCCTCCAACAGTTGCAAAAATGCAGTCTAAGGCCATGAATTTTTGCATGTAGGTATCTTTAGCTCTAGTGAAGCCCTGGTTTGGTCATTCTTGTTTCATAACATGTCTTAGGCAAAATCTATCATAGTAGGAGATGTGTGACTCATGTTCAGTTCATGAATGTGAATTCATTGTTCTAGGCTTCTCATACAGGAAAAGAAGAATTAGGGCACACATCTTCAGAGTGGATGTTTAAAATAGATCAGATGGAAAGTGTCTAAAAATAATAAAGATAATCTGTGGTGAGCTGGTCAGCTGCAGGTATCAGTCTTAAAAGAGCTGTCTTCTCAGGAGTCAGTGAAAAATACTGCTGACTTAGTCCATGTACAATTACATTTGTAACTTAAACTTTTTTTTCCACATTAACATGTGTTCTTCCCATGTTAACAGTACTATGAATGAATAACAATAAGCTGAGTTAATCATATTTCAGTACCTGAAAAGGTCATATTGGTATGATTTACTGTGGTCTCACACTTCCCAAAATGCACTGGACAATTAATATTCTGATTCTAATTCTTGCAGTAAAGACTGCAATGAAAATGAAAAGTTTCCGGCCATCAAGACAACTGTGTGATGAAGACACAATTTAAATGTATCCTCCTTGTTGTTTTTATTTGCTGTAACTAGTGGGACCTGCAAGCTTGTCAGATCTCTAGTCTTGGGTAGGACAAAGTACTACATCGTTAGGTCTTTGACTGGCATAGGTGGGAAAATGCAGATGTTTCCACAGAGAGAGTGTAAGGCATCACAGCATGGAAACTTTGATCCATGCTTTCCTGAAAAGGGTGAAATACTGAGAGGTTTCCTACTGAATTATGTTCCTCCTCTGCCTTCTGTAGGTTTTATAGTAGTGAAATCAGAATTTCTTAAAATTCTTGCACAGAAATTGTGCAATAAACTTATTTATCCCTGAAGAGGGACTTTGCCTAAGAGAAGTCCTGACCCACAAACCGAGAGACAGCACTCAAACCTCATGGGGTGTAAGTACAGCCCAGAAGGAAACTAGAAAGAGGAGAGTGTAAACAAATGGTAAGCCCAATGCCAGCCACAGTGCCAACCTGATCTATGCGAGCTCAGTTGGTTCTTTTAGTAGAACATTTGTAATTTTTCCTTATTAGTGGAAAACAAATGAGCAATTTATGGATGTGAATTGAATGGATTCCATTTTTTCCCTGTGGTTCCCATCTGTAATTTTCAGATGTTGACTGGGCTACAAGTAGTTGGGCAAATTCTCTTTAGTGGCAATCTGCAGAGAAGAAAAGCTTATTGTCCCTCAGGCAACTTCTGACAACTCTTCGGGTGTAGAAGTCCGCAGGCCACAGCATACACATTAAGACTAATAAGTCTGAGACACTCATGGCTTTAGGACATTGTAGTATAAAATTTCTGCCTAGTTTTGTATTTACAACCTTGCCAATTCAGATGCAGAAAAATAAGCACTGTATTTGCCAGTGTGAGTGTAACTGAATAGGAATTATTATTTTACTTCATAAATTCATAGCTATTGATGGACAGGATTTTGTTCTGGGGGCATGAGGGAGTTTATTATTTATATTTTAGTCCATTGGAAGAAAAACTTGTGACAATAACTGGGAAAATTATAGAAGAAAAATCCAGCATGATCTCAAATACTAAGTATTCCAGTCATCCTATAAATATAATTTTAAATTGTTTTTTCTGTGTTTCAAGTCCCCTTCTCCCAGTGGGCCAAGCTGTTTTCTCAGTGTTTGGATATGCACTAAAAAGATGTGGTCTACAGCATTAAGGTCTCAAATCTTGGATACAGAAGTCTACACAAATTCACTTTTGTCCTACCAGGACTTTCTGTGAGATCTTGGTATATTAGTTTTGGTGTGTTTCATGGCTGTTACTTCTACTGAATATCTACCCTCACAGAAGTGTTGTGAGAAACTCTCATATTTATGTGATCAGAAAGAATAGTATAGAAACATATGTAAATACCTAGAATTTAATATTACACAATTTTTTTTGACTAATACTTCACATGCATTTGTTGTCTAATATGATGTTGCATTTCTGACATATCTACATGTCAGACATTCACTTTATTAGATATCCAGGCTGACATCTTTGTGCAACTGAAAAAGTCCAGCATGGTCCAGTCCAAGGGAAGACACAATAATTGCTTGCAAGGCTCTGTCTACACATGATCCTTCATTGGCTTGGTAACTAATTAATAAAGTAGATAGTTATTTTACAACATACAGAAAAAGTCTGATAGAATGTTTTGAATTACAGATTACATAGCATGACACTGATTATTTTTTTTAATAACACCAGCATGCCATAGTCAGTTTTACACTGTAGTTATTTGAGCAGTAATATTGTAATGGTGGGCCATATTTTACGGGGTAAAAAAAAAAAATCTGAGTAGTACCCTCTGATAAATGATGTACAAACAACTTGTAAAATAAGGTAAGGATACAACAACCCCCAAAATCTGCTAAATGGCCATCTCATATAGCAGTCTCTTATGGTTCTGTAATTTTTTTTCTGTCCTCAATTCCTTACTAGCCAACATGTCAACATTCTGAGCTCTCTGATGAGCTGTTTGATGTTCTGTCTTCTCTGCAGTCTTTGATTTGCAGGTTAGTCTGAACTCATGTTGAGGACGCCCTCCTTTAATCTTGTTGGCTCATTTGTGGCTATAGGCTAAAACATAAATAAGACTTCAAGCAAATTGATAGCTTTCTCAGATTACCCTTTCCCTGCTGTGCTGGATTTAGCCAGGAAGGAGTTAACTCCCTTTACCATGGCTTCTATGAAGCTGTGTTCCTGGATGCCGAGAGCAGCACTGACAAGTTCTTAGCTGGCACTGGGCAATGCCTGCACTGAGTTCAAGGTCTTTCTCCGCTTCTGATCCTGCAGCTGCGTTCCCAGCTCTCACTGTCTCACTACAGGCAGTGTAGGGGACACAGAGTTCAGGCAGCTGACCCAAACTGACCAAGGGAGTATTTCATTCCAGAGTACATTATGCTTGGGGCAGAGGCGAGGAGGGGGTCTGGGAGCCATTACTCTCTTCCTTACCCTCTCCCATTCACTCCTGTACACTTGCTAATCTTCTCCCTGACTCCTGCGTTAGCTGCTTCACTAATTCCTGTGCTGGCTTGTTCATGAGGGAGTTGGTGGGTTTGTTTAGTTTTCCTGGTCATGCTATCGCTGATGGGGTTTGCTCGGAATCTGCTGTGATAGCCCTCAGGCTGTGATCGCTCTTGGGCTGCAGCTCTCGGTTTCTTCGGCTCTGACTCTCACTTCTCAGCACCTGGTTGTGCACTGGTGAGTGTGTGGTGAGCAACTGTATCATAATTGTATCATATGTTTTATTTTCTACTATTTTACTTATTTATTATTAGTAGCATTTGTATGCAGTAATTTAGATTCAATTAGTTAATAGTTCTTATCTCAATATTACGAGCTTCCTTATTTCTTTTTTCTCCGATTCTCCCCTCCACTGGAGGAGGGGAGGGGGATTTGTGAGAGCAGCTTCATGGTACAGAGTTAAACCACGACACCTGTCCTTAGGCTAGAAAGATGAGAAAGTTTTCCTTATACTGCTGTGGGAAAAAAAAAAATCAGAAAATGATTTGGTTTCCTAAAATGTAGAGAGTCATGGACTCCAAACATATCTGATGATATGTCATTAGAGCAGGATGATATATCCTGTAAGATGTAACAGCTGAGAAATTGTTTGCTCTGGGTCACATAAGTTCAAGTTAGCTGACTCAAAGCCTAATAAAGTGATATTAGCCCTATGAATATTAATACTGTGAAGAAATGAGGTCCTATCAACATTTTCTGGAACAATGAATAATCCTAGACTGTGCTTTCATGACACTTAGTTGATTTTAGTGGAGGATTCACTGAAATTTTGATAAATGGGATCACATGAAGATCTGTTTAAAAAGCAGAAGACAAGTCTATAGACCCAAAAGGATCTCACATAGTGATGATTTTGCACCTGCATCAAAGCCTATACATTTCTATTTTAACAAACCACAGCATCAAAAATATTTTTCAGTTTTCCTACAGGATGGTAATACAGTGCTTAAGGAATGAGCTATACTGTTTCTCTGTGCTGTGGTACATAGCAAAACATTTCAATTTTGTGCTAAACTACATTTAGTTTCAGTGTCACCATGACATATAATTTGTGTGTCATTGAAATGCTCCTTTAATAATTCAGTAAGACAGGGTTTGCCACAAGCAGCTTAAGTGCTGGCTTATGAGCTGGCCAGCCTCTTGCTTTCCTCTGAAATGTGTTATAGAGTTAATGACCTGAAATAGCTTTGTATTAATAACGATGTTAAACACAGTAATGATTATTTACTTCTCTTATTTTTTTAATACCCAAGCAACTAACTATATTGGTCTTTTAATGACATGTACAAAACTCCCAAACACAAAAAGGCAATTATTAATACAGCTTGTCTGAGTTACAAGTCTCCAGGGATAGCTATAATGTGTGTGTAGTGTGAGGTGGCTGTGTAGGCTACATGGATGCATGCATATATGCTGTTCAGGATGGACTTCAGAGGTGGTAAAACTCCTTCCTCCCCCCTCCTCAGAGATTTTGTTGCTCTAAACAGCACCAGCTGCTATCACAGCTGACACAAATGAATAACCTTTAGTTCTACTTGGAGCCTCAGCTTTTACGGTAGTGACACAGTGCATGACATAAGGCAGAGTGAGAGGAAACTGGAGGATCGGAGAGTCCTCCTTGGCTTCCAGCTTCTTTTAGAAATGAATCCTAGTACAATGCTTTCTGAATCATTCCCCAAGGCTTGGGAGACGTCTCTTGGGAGACATTCTGTGGATACACCAGAATGAGAAGGACAAATCTTTAACATTCTTCACAACAGCATGCTTCATGTCTATATGACCATGGTGCCATGGAGGCAGAAATGTTCTGAAGTTCAGTTTGGAGATATAATTTTAAATTTTTGCATAAATAACTTTTGAATCTGTGCCTGTGCTTGTTGGGAATGTCTGTAGTACCCAATACTCTTCTGGCTGTATGATTCTGTGTAATCACTGGTCATTTCTTCTAGGCTTATTTTGTGGCAATATATACCTCTGTTTGTTTTTATGCTTTTTCTTCATTTCTTTAAAAACTTCATTGCTCATGTGCCTGACCATTTAGATAAAAAAAGACATAAATGTTCAGGAGTCACTATTCAGATACACTCCCCTCTAGTAATGTTTCCAGTACCTTCTTCAAGCAGTCTGAAATCTATTAATTAGTTAACACTTTATTTTACCAGAAATGCTGGATCCAGACTAGTGCATTTGTTACTCTTATGCTATTAGAATTAAGCCCCAACAGTTACCTTCTGCCCATCTTAAGCTGCTGTTTTGCATAGTCCATCGTCACTTTCACTATTATGTCAATATTATGTCAGCTCCAGGACAATACACTTTCACTGCTAATGCATTTTTCAATCTATATGATAAACCTCCAGCTGTTTGCTTGTTGTATGTGCTCATCAGAATGTACAGTGAGGCCAATCTTGTACCATTAAAGTGCTTCCCTGGGAATTTCTGTTTGGCTGGAGGAGATCAGCAAAAGCATTAGTTGCAATAAAAGACTCTGCCCTATTGTTGCATGCAAAGTAACTCTTCAGAAGTGTCTGTCTTCATCTTTGCAAGCTTTCAATAGCAATGTAATGATCTTTGTCAAATGGAGATCCTGTTACTGTCAGCAGCAGAAGGCATATGTCCAAACAGAACAAAGGAGCACTTATTTTCACATTCCACTGATGACAATGAATGATAACATTTTTACATGGTCCTAAAAAATTATTGTGCAGATGCTGTGGAAATGCAATTACAGAGAAATGTTTTCTGGAGGGAACTTAGACTCCCAACATATACCCTTTTGCCCGTTATTACACACAGTGAAACAAGACCCTGGATTCCTTCTTGTTTGTAACATTACATATTTTACTGCTTTGCTTTGATACTGGGTAAAGCTAAGAAGCTGGCCTGGTAGTTGGCTACAGCAGCCCCTGGAAAAATCAATGGGTATATAAATTTTCAATTAACCACTGATGACTTAATAAAAGTTATAAAAGGAAGTAGGGAATGGGTAGAGAAAGAATTTAAAGAAAAAATCAAAAGTATTACAGATGAGTGAAGAAGGAAGATAACTGTAGTTTCTTCTTGCTGTAAAAATGCAGTATGACATGATCATGACGTATCACCTGTCCTGTCTGTACAGAGGGGCAATTAGAACATACATCTGGAACATACATGCTGTATAGGAGTGGAATGACAGCTGTCCATTTCTATTTATGGTAATATTTCTTATTCTTCTTATTAACTCCTGCTACCATGTACTTCTGTATACTTCTCTGATGTGTCTCAAATCCTGCCTCACATGTACAAGCTCAAAGACACTTCAAAAAGGCCTATTAACTCCTGGCTTCCCAGCTATTAGTTGGATTGCTTCTGAAGAAACATTGCTTGTGAATACCACTAGCAGTTACAAGAGTGAGCTGTTCAATAAGATGTTCATACCAATATTTGCAGAGAACCTATTAATTAAATATTTTGATGGTTATAATGTGCATGAAAGTGAGGAGTCTTTTTCTTCCTTCTCTATATATGTGTGATCCCAGTTTCAAAGTGTACCAGGCAAATAAATTGGGTACTTTCCTGATTATTGACAGGTAGCAGAGACAGTACCTCTTACTGAATTTATGATACTGAAAAACTTAAGAGGTCATTTCTAAACCAAAGATGTTTATAAGCAGAAATACTACTTGCTCCTGTAAATAGCCTCTCTCTCTAGAGTGTCTAATGTTTTTATCACCTCCTGAGTGGCAGAAGAGGACTGTGGTACGTTGTACGAGTGAGTGGGGCCAACTTTTGTCACTAGGGTTTGAGATTTTTTTGTTGGAACTGAGAGTATATCACCTCTTTCTTCTTGGACTGCACTCTTCAGCTGTGCTGCAACTCTGAGGCATCATCGTCTTCGGACAGTCAAATCAGAAACTGCTTCTTTTAATCTTCTTTAAACTCAGTGAGTGCTCATCTTTCATATATTTAAGAAAATATCTGAGAACTGCCTGAGAAGCATTTTCATCTTCCTTGTTCTTTTTCTCAAATTGTAGGATATTGCTATCATGTTCTTTTTGAGGGTCCTCCTGTCCTACTTATTTCTTCCATGACAGGGGGTTCATGGCTTCACTTTGGGGCTTACTTATTTGAGTGCTGAAGGGAAGTGTTTTTTCTCTCATCATCCTATTTCTTGAAAACTATTTGCCATGTTCCAGAAAGCTGGATTTTTGAAATGGTATAAGGGAATAAAGTGCAGTAATTCCCAAGAATTTATTAAAATCCCTGCATTTTTAATGACTGATCCACACTTCCCATGCACTGGCCTTTTTTTTTCACTCCACAGGTATCAGTGATGTTGACAATGAAGAAAGCAGTGCAGCTGAAAATGAAGAAAAGGCCAAAGGAGCAGGTCAGTAGTTATGTCGTGTTTCTGTGGTGGGGGTTTGGTAGCCAGGAAAGGGCCACAGCTGTGGGTCTTGTGAGAAGCTTTGAGAGAAACTCCACTGGCTCTAAGTAGGACCTGCCTCTGGCCATGGCCGAGCCAGTCATCGCCACTGCAAATTAACATATTTAAGAGAGGAGAAAACAAGAAGAAGTGACAGCAGAAGCAGGAAGGGAGTAAAGAGGGAGTTGGATAGAATCATCATGGAGAGAGGAACGGGATGTGAAAGAGACAACCAGGAAGACCCACAGGTCAGTGAGGAAAAGCCAGGAGGAGGTGGCTGGAGCAGAGGTTCCCCTGCAGTTGGTGGTGAGAGGGCAGGCTGTGCACGGGGGACCAGAGATCCCCTGCTGCCCAGCGAGGGCTCCGTGCAAGAGCAGGCCTGAAGGAGCCTGTTACTCCGTGGGAAGCTCAGTTGGAGCAGGCTGCTCCTGCAAGACTGCACCCCATGGAAGGGACTCATGATGGAGCAGAAAAAACTGCAGCCTATGTGAAGTACTCATGTCAAAGAGGTTCACTAAGGACTGTGTCCTGTGGGAAGGGGAAGAGTGTAAGGAGTGGAAGGAGCAGCAGAAACAGGGTGTGATGTTTCTAGACTAACCATAACCCCCATCTCCTGCCGCCACCCTACCCCTACTGTAGGGGGAGGAAGTAGCACATGAGGGGCCGAGTGTAGACCCGCGGAAAGGTGTTCGTGGCCTGTTTTGTTTTGTGTCTCATTGTCCTGCTTTGATTTTGACTGGTAACTTATTGAATGGATTTCTGTTTTGCCCTTGACCATAACGGGTGCGTGATCCCTCCCTGTCCTTGTCTCAACCCATGAGCCTTTCCTGATATTTTCTTCTTCCCATCTGATTGTTTTTTTTTTGTCTCATGGTCTTTTATTCCCAGCTAGGCCTAAACCATGACAGTAATGTGGATTTTTTTGAGGCCACGCTCAGGTGTTTCCTAATTATCTGAATGAATGGAGGAAGAAAACTCTCCCTCTAACACACCTCCTTCTCTCATGTTTTTTTATTATTCTTAATAACAAATAAAGGGGGGAAGAGAGCAACACCGAGACCCAGAAGAGGACATGCCAGAGGGAGAGCCAGGCGTGGTGGTGAGGAGGATGAGGATGATGAAGATGGAACAAGGAGAGCTGGGCATCGCAGACACAGAAACCGTAGAGGACGGGGACGGGCAGCTGGAAATGAGGGCAGTGATTCTGATGGAGACCCTACAAAAACCAGAAAGAATCAGGCAAATCAGAAATCCAAGGAAGATGATGAAGATGAGGAAGATGAGAAAGGGGGTAAAAGTGGGAAAGGCAAAAATGAGAAGAAACAGGACAAAAAACCTGATAAGAAAGGGAAAAAAGAGAAGGCCAACAAGAAGAAAAAAGACAAAAAGAAATCAGGATCTGGGTAATTCAGTAAACTATTTTTTTTAATATAAACCCAAGGTTATCTTACATGAACCTGCTTTCATTTATGGGTGTGAAATACCAAGAGTAGCTATGACTCCCTTTCTCATTACAATCCAATTAGAGCTGGACAGTATTTTTTGTTTGTGAGGGTGTGGTGTGTTTGTTTGTTTCTTTCTTTCTTTCTTTCTTATTTTTTTTCCCCTTGTTGTGAGATAATGCTGGCTGGGTAAAATGGAAACCTTCCACAAAACCATATCCACTTTGGTGGAACAAAGTCATGGATTTGCCTCGGGTCTGGGGTGGGACCTCAGGAAATGACCAGTCAGTTCCTTGTGGGACTGCTCATACCTTGAGGAGTAGGTCAGATCTGGTCAGGCAGAATGGGAGCTCAATCCAGGGTCACCATTACTGTTGTTAAGCATCCCAGGTTTATGAGGTGTTCTCTGTGATAAAGGAGTGAAAGTGACAGACAAGGGGAGCAAATGACAAGGAGTGGTGATAACAGGTAAGACATCTCCTGCTTTTTCCTTTGCACAAAACTAAAATCCCCCAAACCGTAAGCTAATAGTCCTACTAAATCCCAGTTCTAGTTTTATTTCCAGTGCAGTACTAAAATCTTGACACTCTTCACAAGACTGATTTCAAGAACCCAGAACCAAGGACCGAGATGGGATGTTCGAGTGTGTCTCCCATTCTCTCTGAAATATTGCTGTACACTTTTACAAAGCATTTAATGCAACCTGGGGTCTTCGAAGACCCCACTGACACAAAGCAGAAAATGATTTTGTATTTTTTTGCCATACTGACATTCCCTTCTTATGCTTTTGAAAGGAAATAGCCCCTGGGAATGGTGTATAATGGAGCAAGTGGAGCTAGGCATGTTCATCTCAGTGAAGAGGGAGAGAGATTCCCCTTCCCCCATTCAGCACTTGCTACAGCTGTTTGTGTACCCAAAAGTATCACTGGCAAGCACAGCAGGAGTCAAAGGAAAGAAAAAAATACAGTGAGACATGCTGTTGCATTAATTTGTCCATGATCTCATTTCAATATATTTAATTTCCCTTCCCTACAAGATTGCCAGAAATCTCCCTTTGTGCTGGCTCTTCACTGTGATGCTAATTATACCCCTCTGTGCATTTTCCTGTACTTACATAGCAGTAGTCCTGAATGTGACAATCCATGTTCCTTTGCTTATTACTGTCTCCCATTGTAAACTTTTATTGAGCGTTAATTTAAAAAAGATGACTGAAATATAAAATTGAATGAGGGCACAATGTTTTTCATTGTCTTCCAAAGTTCTTAACATTAAAATGGCTAAGTTTGGGCTAAATAATTAGAAATTGCTACCTGGATCAAGACTTTGTTCTTGAAGTAATAAGCATAACATTTGAGGAAAAACTGAGGATGATCTGGAAGATACCTCAAGAACATTGTACTTTTAGACTCATAGGAGACCAGTTGGTAAGGTTGCAGAGTAATAAATACAAGAATATTTTAAAAGATTTTAGAAGGTTTAAAAAATATTTTTAAAAGAAAAAACAAAATAATATAACCAAAGGGAAATAGGCTACTGATGAGTTCAGCTGTAATTGAGATAAAGGGTCTACAAACGTTCAGGACAGAAGAATAAGGTGGCAGCACAGAAATATAGCCCATGTACCAAGTCCGTGAGGACCTATGGCTTTTACAAAAATCATGAGGAAGGTAGATTACATCTATAAGGAGATGAAAGTAAAATCAAAACACAGAAATATAATATGGGCATAAAACCAAGATACAGATTAATAGTAAGAGCAAGTTGATTATGTGTGTGATTTAAGGAAGTGACATTGGTTTCAAAAGCTCTACTGACTTAGGAAAAGATGCATTGTGTACGTTGAATTAGATGGTGGCTTGATGTGAAATTACTAATGCTTTATGCTCTGTGTTAGACTGAAAGTCATGGTGAACCCTTCTGGCCTTCAAATGTATGAATCACAACTTTTCATGAAACACTAAGTCTTTCGGTTGAAGAAGACAGAATTCTGATTTCTGGGCTTGGATCTCGTAGTGCAAAAGGAAAAATCTGCTGTAACTGCATGAAGTTTGACTGCACGGTGTAAACACTCTTGAAAATACTGATTGCTTAAAAATCTTTAGAAATTTGGAATTTTTACTATTTTCTTGGTTCCAAAGAAGAGTGGAAGATAAAAGTTGAGGTGCGTTTGCAAAGACAAGTATAGCAACAGTGAGCAATGACTGCAAGAGCCAGTATTATCGCTACTTCACCTCTTGTGTTCCCCTCAGCTTCCTTTACTCAGTAACCTCAGTACATTAGCACCTACCACTCCTATTTCTCGCCACTCTCACCGCAGCCTTGGAAAACTGCATGTTTCAATTTTGCATAACGCAGCAATCTTCTGTGAAAAGAAATGCTTAATATTGGGTACCTTGCTGTCTGCTTTGTAAAACGCAAAGAAGCTGATTGTAGCAACTAGGAATTTAAAGCTCTCTCAAAACCAGACTCCTCTAATCCTTGTGTTCTTCTTAAAGACATGACTCTTCTTGCATTATAATGCCTCAAAATAGTATTTATTGACCTTCATCCATTTGACTTAAGTTTTCCTATAGTTCCTCAACTGCTCATTACAATACTGGAGTAAGAAAAATATGTCTGTGTTCAGCTGCAGTCTTTTTTTTCCAAAATTGTTATTTTCTGTGACACTGTTATTTATCACCTAAGTGTGAAATTTTAATGCTAATATGTTGAAAGTTCTAATGTGACGGCCTTTTCAATAAGTAGCAATTTTGTCTTTAATAGCAGGGCATATGATAACTATGAATGCCTCTTTCTTTCCTTTGCTTACTTACTCCTCTGTGTCTGAAATTTTTAAACTGTTCCCTGGTAGCTTTTGCTGTATTTATGTGTACCTCATGAAAACTAAAAGTACATGACTAATGAGAATTTTATGTTTTGCTTTATTGCTTTTATTGTATTTGTATTTGTTTGGTTTCAAACCTCTCATAAATATTCTTGCTTTTGTCTTTTATGTCACACAAATTTTTAATTATATCTGTGTTATCTTTTATGGGGAGAAGAAAAAGTTTATTTAGTTACCCAGAGGATAGAAACTATACAATTAGGTGACTTAGGTAATAAATCATTCAGCTCTGATATTATATTTTGAATATCAGACTCTCAGAATGGTGTATTATAAGCAAGCCTGAAAACTGCTTGCTTGATAAAGTCTGAATTTACTGTTCTCAAAACAAACTAGAAAACTCAAAAAAAAACCCCCTGCAGATTGTTTTCAAACATTCAAAACAGAAAAAATGCAAAAGAAAACACAACATGAAACAAATAGAAACGCATTAAACTCTTTTTCTTAATAGCTGACTTAGTGGTAGTCATCACTGTCAGGTTTTTAGGGCAGGAGGTCAGCGTCTGATGATTTTTTATCATTTTCTTGTTTGCTGGCATAAGAAGAGGAAACACCTGTTGCTAATGATTTGCAACATGGCGTTATATGATATGTAAGATTGCTTACAGAAAAGGACATCCATGCGTGTTTTAGGCGTATTCATTGTCTTAATCAGCAATGCTTTCCAAAGATACTACAAACCAGTGCATGGATAAGAAGTTCAGATTACAAAACCAACACATCAGTAGATGTCATTACTATTGCATCTGCTTACTCTGAGGGCTAGGACACATCATAGCCTTGCTGTAATGTGTTTTTGAATCTCTCCCGTCTCTGAGATGTTAATACCTTGATCAGTGGACAGACTGTCACCTGGTGCTTAAGCTTAACTTTGCTGAGGTGTCTCATCTCTCTCCTGTGGCACACTGACGTGTGGCTAACAAGTTCATTTTCATGGCTGCAGTTAGAGTGTCCTCACTTGCTCTTTGTGCGTTTGGGTTGGATGCTTAGGAGGACGGTTACTCCTGCAGGGATAACCTGTGGCTGTCGCACACTTCCCCAAGAGTGCTGCCCACTCTGCAGGGGATGCTTTGGGTGCAGTGCTGGTTCAGCTGCGTCTTTGTGTGCAGGCTTTATCTTTCATCCTAAATTTGATAACAAGTGAGTCCTCCTTTCTGTGCAACAGTGAAGGCATTTATCTAAATCTCAAAGTTAACAAGAATTAACAACAAGTATGTGCTCCAGTGAAAACTTCTGTCTTTCTGAGTTTTAGTGATGTGTTTTTTCCTGATTTTCTTTGGAGCTCTGATTCTGATTCTGAGGAGGAACCGATTACAGAGGAGGAATTGGCCAAGCTGAAAGAAGAGGTAGAAGAAAAAAAGAAACTGATCGCCACACTACGAAACAAGCCATGGAAGATGAAAAAGAAGTTGTCAGTCCTGAAGTAAGGTTTGATTTCCACAGTGAATATCTGCTATTGTACTCTGCATTGTTTTTCTGAACTTCACGTTATTTCTAGACCTAGTGACACAATTAAATTCAAACCATCTCTAATCTCTTGTTCACAGAAGGTCCTGGTAAATGGCATTGCAGATCAGTGCTTTCTCGTCACTGTAGACCTGAAATCAAATATGAAAAACTCAGACCTTTTTCTTTGCTAAGTTTCCATTACATTCCTCTGCAAAATCTTACATTTTCTTCTGTAAAATTAGTGTTGGTAAATTCTTCCATTCATAAGTTTAATATGTTATTCAAGAAAAATGATGCAGTTTCAGGAATACCTCAAGATTACTGGGGTGAGATGAGAGGATATATCTTTCTATTCCAATATTTTAGAAAAAAGCCAATTTTTTTAACTTATGAGAAAGCAAATTGATTGGAAACCAAGCTTGCATTTTCATACATTTTTAGGTACATCACATGTAATATTGTATTTTACCCTAGAAAACTGATGACTACATTTTCATTAAGGCTAAAAATTAAGTTTTCATTTACAGTTAAATTTCCACCAAGCACAGGAAATTCGATAATTGTGGAGAACTTTATTTTTTTTGCTAAAACTGTTACTGCTACACAAAACTGTTATTCCTCGGTTTTAAATAATTCATTCACTGCAGTACTACCCAAACACCAACAAAATGCATGGTCATGTTGTGTTAGACACATCTAACAGAAAAAAAAACGGTCTCTCCTGCAGACAGTTTTTGATATGGATAGAAAACACAGAAATAAGGATAGGATAGAGCATATAAAATAGGGTGTGGATGGTATACAATTTTTTCCTTCTAGAAGGTAAGGTCATTCTGGGAAGGATAAAGTCAGAAAGAGGAAACCGAATGTATGTTGTGAAAGAAGGTGACAGAGAAGGAGGTATAAGGGAACAGAGTACCTAGGAGATGTGGAGTGGGAGCATTGTGAAGGTTAGAGAAATTTCAGAAAAAAAACGATGAGCACATTAGATAATCAGATAGCAATTACTTTATGTTGCATAGTCTATAATTGAAGCTGCCCTACGTACTTTTTTTTTTTTTTTTTGTATTCTTACTATGAACAGAAGTTCTGTTTTTATAACCATTCTTCTATTCCAGCACTCCTAGCAATTCCTAGTTTCTAGGAAACATCCTAGCCTGGTATGGCCCTCAGACTAATACCCATAATTGCTCTTGCGGTGATGAAGCTGCAACACATAGTCTCAGGGCAATCAAAACAGACACCTGGGACTTGGGAGAGTTGGTAAGGGAAGCCAGAGCAGGGGTAATTTTTCCTCTATCTTTCCAGTTGCAGGCAGCAATATTGGAAGAAACAGATGGACCCAGTCTATTAACACATGTATTAATACATGTGGCTGGTGTCACGGACAGAATTTTGGGTTTTTCTATAAAAGGATGATCTGCATGATACCAGGCCATTTTCTTTTAAAAGGGGAAGAGAATCTTTGTTCAGAAGCTAGTGGGGATGATTAATAGAGCTTTAGAATATACTTGAAGACTGAAAGGGATAATAATCAGGCTCACCCATGGGATGATGCACCAAGATTTGAGGGATGGGCTGGATGCAAGGGCCCTCAGCCTGTTGCTCTGTGATGTTCTGGGTCCATGGAGCACACTTGTCTTATAGAGAAGAGCCAGGGGCTCCTGAAGTAATAGGAACCAACAGGGAAGCACCAGGGAAATACTTCAAAGTAATTAAGGTGCGTTCCTCTAAAAAGATGACTTGGCCAACAACCTTGCTGAAATGCCTCTATAGCAGTGGACAAAACATGGACAACAAACAAGAGGAGTTGGAAGTCACCATGTTGCTAGAAAGGTATGACCTAATTGCCATTTCTGAAACCTAGTGGGATGAATCCCACGTCTGGAGCACTGCTGTCAATGGCTACAGTCTGTTCAGAATGGACAGGCGAGGAAGGAGGAGTGGAGGGCTTGCCCTGTCCATCAAGAAATGAATAGACTGTGAAGACCTCTCTCTGAGGAATAGCCACAAGCAGGTTGAAAGCTTATGGGTAGAAAGTAGAGACTGAGGCCCCAAAAGGAACTTGGTAGTTGGCATTTACTACATACTGCCTCACCAAGGGGACACTATTGGCAAAGCCTTCTTACTCCAGCTACAGGAGGCATTGCGCTTGCGGGCTCTCATCCTACTGGATCCTTTAACCTTCAACCGTCCTTCATCCAACCCAACACCTGCTGGAAAAGTAGAACTGTAGAGCTATAGGCATCCAGAAGACTCCTGAAGAAGGAGAATTACTTCTTGGGCCAGGTAATAGATGGTCCTACCAGAGAGGATGAATTACTGCATCTGCGCAAGTGAGCTACTCAGAGATGTCAAGATTGGAGGCAGCCTGGACTGCAGTGATCATGCAATAGGGGAATTCATAGTCCTGAGGGTTATGTGACAGGCGAACCATAGTCAGGATGCTGAATTTTAGGGAAGCAAACTTCCAGTTGTTCAGTCAATGGGACCCGTTGGGAAACTGCCCTCAAACTGGAAACTGGACAAGGTAGTAGAACAGAGCTGGCAGATGTTTTAAGATGCTTTCCATAGAGCTCAAGAACTTTCTATCCCTATGTGTAAGAAAGCATGAGAGGATGGCAAGAGATCAGCATGGATGAGCCAAGACCTGCTGGTCCAGGTAAAGGACAAGAAGGCAATATACCAGCAGTGGAAGCAGGGACAGGTATGAGGGGAAGAGTACAGGGACGCTGCACAATTGTGTAAGGATGGGATCAAGAGGCCCAAGGCCCAGCAGGATCTGAACTTGTCAAGGAACACAAAGAATAATAACGGCTTCTATAGGTATATCAGGCTGAGAGCGCGGGGTTCAGTCTGGAGGAGAGAAGGCTCCAGGGAGACTTACTGCAACCTTTACAATACTTAAAAAGAGCTTATAAGAAAGATGGGGACTTTTTAATAGGACCTGTTGCTATATGACAAGGGGTAGTGGTTTTAAACTAGAAGAGGGTAGATTCAGACTAGATGTAAGGAAGAAATTTTTTATGATGAAGGTGGTGAAACATTGGAACAGGTTGATCAGAGAGTCTGTGGATGCCCCATCCCTGGAAACATTTAATGTCCGGGTTGGGAGGGGTCAACTTGAACTAATTGAAGGTGTCCATGCCCATGGCAGGGGCTTGGAACTAGATGATCTTTAATGCCCCTTCCAACCTAAACTATTCTATGATTCTATGATTAACATCAGCTGGTTCCCTCAGTCTGCCTATATGACTTTGTAGTGAAGAAGTGTTTGAGGTCAACTGGGAAACATGTTTGCAGTGAGGTGACTGACTACAGTTAGAATTTTCTAAATCAGATGTATAATTTTTTACATGATATGTTTTAGGTCAGCCACTAGCTGTAGAGCCCCTCAATAAATATCTACAGCATGTGCCACCCTTTCCAGGTCAGAGTTAGTAGGAACATCAATCCTTTCTGGCCTTAAAAATCTATGTTACAATGAAATGTTTGTAATTGGCTCAGTGCTTCTAGCCATTCTTAGTCAATGCTAAATTACAGCACTTCTTTTATTCTCTGAAGTGGGTTTTCTCAATTAAGCCATTAGTTAGTTTTCAAAATACTAACGTTATGTCTTTTTTTTTTAATCTTAACAATGTCTTTATTAATAATCAGGGTTAAGTGGTCCTTATCCATTCAGCATGGGCAGCAATTCTACATAAAAGTCCATTCATTTACCAATATTTAAATTCTTATCTTTATGAAATCTAGACGGGGAGACTAGACATGTATTCAATTTTATTTGCTGAAATTACATGTTATATTGTAGTAAAAACTATGTATCAAAGTGTTCTTACGGCAGTTTGCAACATATTTTTTTTTTTCTAATGCTTTGCTATAGCCCTTTCTGAAGAAGTCTCTGAAGCATATTATCAGTTTATTTGCCATAGAAAAATGTATATTCCAAGAGTAAATGACAGTTCTTCAGATTAGCATATTTATTTCGAATCTACTTTTATTAACTGAAGAATTACATTTATTACTATCTTTCTCTGTCAAGTAAGATTCCAAAACCAGTCACTTTTTATTCCAGGCAATCCCATTCAGATTGTCACAGTTCTGTACAGAGTCATGCATAACTCAGCAGATAAAACAGATAAATCCGGCTAACAGCTGGAATAAAAAAATAGAAGTTAAACCCTAATATTTGGTCACATTTTTAAATGTGTGAGCTGAGAATTAGGCATTTAAATCTGCATCTGAGCATCTTAGATGAAAGTTATGGAAAATTTGGTAGCACTTGGTGCCTTTGAAAAAATCAAACCAAACCATTTACATACCAAAATACAGTCATAGACTAATTTTTCTAGAGTCCTATTGTTGTAATTTGTTCTTTTGAGCCTAAGTTAAACTCAGTTGCAAAGGAAGACCTGGTGTTATTATGCTACTTAAAATAAGAAGTAATATCTTTTCAGTGGGTTCTCTATTATAATTGTAGTTATAACAATAGAGAAGTCTCTATATCAGCACATTTTAGGGTAACTATGTATTTGTTTTATATTTTAACAAGTTATTTAAGATTTATACCAGAATCTTTAGTCTAATAGATTGGCATTATTCTGGTTCAGGTAGACAATTCACACATTTCATCTTTAAGTACCTTAAACTTGTAAATCAGTAAGTATCTTCAATAGTCTTACATTAATATCTCTTGCTATCAAACCTTTTGGTCAACAGCTATTATTAGCAAGTATTCCCTATGTCATCTGCTTCTTATCCTGTGCAGGTATTAGCGTAGTATGGGGTATGTGTGGAAAAACCAAGAAGCCTATCATCTTAGAGTAAAAGAAGAAATTTCCCTGTTCTTTTTCTTCCAGCTTCCACAGCAGAGAGATACTTTATTGGAGATTTCATCTCAGCATTATGAGAAATGTTCTTTACTGTGAACCAAACTCCATTTCTATGTCTGTTCTGTATTAGCACCTTTTCTTT